AGAAAGCTCAGGGGTGACAGAGCCTTCTCAGTAGCAGCTCCAAGGTTGTGGAATGCACTCCCAATCCAGATTAGGATGGTTTCCTCACTGTCGGGTTTTAAATCACTTTTAAAGACTCATCTGTTCTCAGCTGCTTTTAATTCAGTTTGAGAATGCATCTGTTTTAGTAGCTTTTATGTCAGTTTGATATGTTTGTTTTGTCATGTTTTTTTTTTTACTTTTTGATGTACTTTTATCTTATTTTTAGAATTTTAGGAAACTTCTGTTCTTTTTGGCTTGTTAAGCACTTTGGTCAGCTTTGATGCTGTTGTAAAGTGCTATATAAATAAAGTTGACTTGACTTTATCAACAAATTTTTAAATGCACGAGAAAATAAAACAGCATCTTAATTTACACAGAACATACTCCTAAAGTTGTCGAGTATAAAGTTCTCCTTGTTTATCAGAATGGCCTGTGTTTAAGGTGACGGTCTGATTAGGTGTTAGTGTAACAAGACAGGTCAGAATCAGAATCAGAATCAGAAGGTTTTATTACCATATGTGCAAGAAATCACAACATTAGGAAACTTGGTACTTGGTGCAATAAAATAAATGATGAGCAAAAATTAGAAATAGGAAATAAACCCAATAAAATAATAGTAATAATTAGGGAAACGGGTCAGAAGTGCAATGTTCACTGGTGCTTGTTTGAAGAATGTTAAGAGATAAGATGCATCACGAAATAAGACTTTAGTAAATGAAGCAGCATCATCCCCACAAGAGGTTTAAATTGTACATTTAAAACGGTATAGGAGTGAAATTTTTAATGTTACATCTACATAAAATAATATTTGGCTAATTTAAAGTTTGTTTCAATGTAAAAAGTATAAATAATTACTCATTTACCCATTGTACAGCATTGTTGCCATTTTATGTTACATGGTTCCTCACATGGAAGTTGGTATTTATATACAGGAGAAACTCAAAAAATTTGAATGTGATGCGAAAGTCCATTCATCTCAGTAATCAAATTTAGACTGAGACAATCTAAAGGCTCAGGAACCCATTGCAAGTGTTTTAGAGTCATTAGCCGATTAGAGTGTGACATTTTTAGTTCTGTTTTTAAAACACAGAAAAGTTTTTTTTTTACCTTGCTGACAGTTTTGTTTGCCGACTGCAAAACTTCCTCAGAGCTGACGCTGATGGTGGCGTCACTTCCTCCTCCGTTTTTCCGCAGGCAGCAGAGGACGTTGTCGCCCTCTGCTGCCCGCTCTCCCCTCTCCGATGATGCAGTCCCATGCACGAAACCCCATCGTCCCTGTTCATGGTCCCACATCCACGTCTCCTTATCTCTATAGCTTCTTTTATCCATCTTTTGTATTTCTGTTGTTCGGTGTTTATGATCCATGTGTTGTCCCAGTCCATTATATGGTTTTCTCTTGTGCAGTGATCTGTTACGGCTGACTTCTTGATTGTACTTTCTGTGTCTTCTTTTGCTGCTCTTGTGTGTCTTTGACTTGTTTCTCTCTCACACTCCTTTCTATGTTCTATTGTTCGTGTGTTGAGTTGGCTTCCGGTTTCTCCTATGTATGTTTTATTGAAGAGTTTGCATGGGATTTCATAAATGACTCTACATTTATGTCCTGCTGCTATTTTGTCTTTTGGCGGTACTAGTCTGTCTCTAACTGTTGTGTATGGTTTTGTTGGTGTGTTTATGTTGTGTTTTTTCATTGTTGCTCTTATTTTGCCCTGGTTTATACAACAAAAATTCCAAGGGCGGCGCCAAAGGTAATTTGGAGAACAATGTATAAATCTTTCTCTGAAGATGACTTTATTAGAGATGTGGCAAATATACAGTGGGCAGAGGTACTACAACACACACGTCCTGAGTTGGCTCTGGACAACTTCTACAAATTATTTGCAGGGGTACGTGATGAACATGCTCCAGTAAAAAAAGATGATGATGATGAATTACAGCAAACTATGAAAATCTGAGATGAAAAGAAACATGTGGCTGTCACATCAAGAAGGCTGGGCGACTGGGAAAATTATCGGGTACTAAGGAGTAGGGTAACAAGGTTAAATAGACAAAAGAAAAACAATACTATCAAAAGGAATTTCAGAACTATAGTAAAAATGGCAAACAATTATGGAGGACAATAAATGAACTTATGGGTAGAAGTAAAACAAATAAATCAACATCGTTCATTGAAGTGGATGGGACATTCATAACTAAACCATCTGAAATTGCAAGTTATTTTAATGATTATTATTATAACAAGGTGAGAGTAATTCAGGATGATATGCCTCGAGGAATGGCAGATTAGCCTGTAGCCTGATTCTCTCTTTGCAAAAAACTTGGACATCACATAAACCTTTTAGTTTGTTCACAAAGTTGCTACCGACATGTAAGAGACATGGTTTTAACACAAGGAAAGTCTCCCAAGTAACCTTTACCCTTCCATTGCCAAAACTAATGCCCTCAAGAGAACAGTCATTTACAGAGCCGTTTCATATTGGAATATCCTGCCTCCAGGAGTGGCATTAATAAATGATCATGGCAGATTCAAAGAAATTCTGAAGACTTTGGTCATACATAACAATGTAAAACTAAAACTAAATGACTGATGTGTTTTTTTTTATTTCTATAGTTATTAACTGGCCTGTTGGGGGGGGGGGGTATATATTTTCTTATTTGAATTATTTTTATCTTTGCTGAATTTTCTTATTAATGGATATGTATGTTATTTTTCGTACACTGCATATGTACTATTGTAAATGTTTTTTAATGATGCGGACCCCAGGAAAAATAGTCTTCACTATGGTGAAGACCAGTGCTGGGCAAGTAACTTCAAAACTGTAATGCATTATTTATTACTTGTTACCCTCATTTTAAAGTAATTCATTACATTACAATATTACTGATTTTAAATTGTAAGGCATTACACTACTTTTGCATTACTTTCACCAATACAACTTCAATATGAATCTGGTCATGTGACGCTCAGTGAGCTCATGACATATATGTGGAAGGTGATGTGGTGTCTGAGCTAGGGTTGCTGTTAAAAACAGTCAGATATAATAACAGCGCTTTAAAATGATTGTTTATTAAATAAAAGCAACAACAATCTGTACTCTCAGCACGCTGCCATCTTACATTAACTGAGCAGGGAGTGAGGTGGTGGGGGCTCCAAGCCTATATTTGCCTTGGTCCCCAAATGCCTTGATACGGCCCTGGATGTGGGACTGACTTCTGGGGTGATCTGATTCTATCACTTGTATAAATATTAAATGCGTATATATTATTGCTTTTCACTGGTAAAAATGTGTATTGGGGATAAATCTACCTACTTTTTTCTTTTTTTTCTTGATTTTATTTGAATAATTTCCTGCCCTTTCTCTCTCTAACCTTCCTGCATGCAGCATGTTTTCTCCGTCTTCCAGAAAAAACTGTTTCCTAGACTTCCTACTTTCTAACGATCAGCCAGAGGGATCTTCACATGCGGGGCGCTCCAGCAGTAATGAGTTGAAATCACCGGGGCCCAGATTAACTCAGCTGAGGCAAAGCACGTCAGAAAAGCACAAAATACCAGAGAATATGCGCTGATATGAACGATCGCAAGTCAATTATTTTGTTTTAGTGGAGCGATTTTGTGAATGTTACAGCGGCCGCGTGCAGGAGCAGCGGGAGAATTTGAGCCGTTACCCCGGCGTCCTGTCTGCCCGCAAAGCTGAGTCCATAAATGACCTAATATATGCAGATACTGGATCTTTCTTCGGGTTTCCCGCAATTTGAATTTTTAAAGAACACATCTTGATTCTGGGTTTAAAAATGCATTGTAATTACCGCGTTACTGACAATTGTACCGAGTAAATATTACTGCAAATGAATGGTCTGAACTCTAATGGATAACTGACTGTACTTCTGTCATATTAATTGGAGGTAGATGGAGTCAACCATGCTAAAGGGTAAAAAAACTACACATTTGTGCATCTGGTGCAAAAGTGTGTCGATAACTATTGAGTAATGGAGGACTAGAAGGTGATTTGTTCAGACAAGTAGTCCCGCATCAGTGCTCACAAACAGCGCCCAGAGTTTCCAGCTGACCCTGCTGTAGCCTACAAGACTTCTTACTCAGTCAGGCAGAAGAAGGAGACCACATCAAGTTATGGAAGAGCTAAGCAGTACACAGAGAGTGACCTGGAGAACAACGCATCTCTGCTCAGGCTGTGGGCTGCTGGCAGGCTCAGGAAGAGGAGACAAAAGAGACATGGACTGACTCATTTAGCTGGGACTCCTAAGAGGAGCTGGGCGTGTGGTGATCCAAGCTGGCGTCCACATGTGGGAGAACAGGCTCTGCTCTCATGCACATTTCATCATTTTTTCCAAAATGACAAAAAGTGGCTGCGATTCTATCAGCTAACTAATAAGCAGATTTTTCCAAAACACAACTGAGGGTGTTAAACATAAAGAACCAATGCAAGTACATAGTTGCAAACATTAAACTGACAGCCTCTTTTACCTCTAAAAGGTAAATGTTTAAATATTTATCAACCTCGTAGGACTTTTAATACAACTAGACAACAGTGATCCATCAGATGCCTAAAATGCAGGTTGTTGCACTCCACAAGGAACTAAAGGACAATTTAGCACATTAATACAATTTTTATGACTTTTTCCAGAGTCAAACAAATCAAGACCCCTTTAAACCCTGCAGTATTCTGAATGTTAGGTTAAAAATGAGCAGTAAAGGGCAATTAGTTCCTTCCAACCTTAAATAATTAAACAGACCTGATAAAATACATTTTGTACCAAAATAAGATCATTTTAAGTGATCTTTCTCTGAAATTTGGGTTTCACCTAGAAACAAAGTATTATTTTCATTGTAAGTGAAGAATGTAAAATGTATGTTTTTTACAGATCTTTCTATAGAATTGTTTGAATTATTGATGCAAATGCAACATATTCTAGTTGTTCTTGTGAAAATGTTTACTGGTCTTTGTTTAAAAAAAACCACCTACTTGACAGAGATGAAACGGCTGAGCTGAGGAGAGACCCTGAGGAGTTTGCAGTGGTTCATGGTGTAGCCAGAGTTTGTTAGGAGGATTTTTTTCTTATACAGTTTCCCAACATCAAAGTCCTAAAACAGAACATTTTAAACATATAAAACTACTTAGCTGCAAATAATATTTCTGGGCAAACTTGGCTATAGGAGAAACAAAAAGTGGGGTTTATTTAGAATAATGTATTTTTGAACTCAGGGGCATTACCTTGAAGATGATGACTTCTGGTTTACTGATGAAGGGAGGCCCTTTCAGCATATTTTCCTGAGTTCTTCTAGGCTTGAATCTCTCACTGGCTGCAGCAACTTCCTCTTTGTTTTCTTCTGTTTGCACCAAAGTCATCTTCTCAGTGATGGGCTTCTGGAAACAGACAAAGAAATAACTACTGGTACAGAAAGAGAGGCTAAAGCAGAAGCAGAAATAACATTTTCAGTATAATACAGAGTGACTGTGAAGCAGAATTCGATTCATCAGAAGAAAAAATAAATCTCTTTTAAAAACATTATATTTATTTATTTTTTGATCCGTATACTTCTAATGAATTTCAGCAGGAATGTTGGTTGATAGAGCTGCATAATATCAAAAATACAGTCCTGTGATTTGCAAATTCTCCCACTTAGAAATCACGGAGGGGTCTGAAAATCATATTGTAGGTGAAAATCAGGAAATCACATTGTATGATTTGAAAAGCATTTATTTGTATTTCACATAAGTATTTCAACACCTGAGAAAATCAGTGTTGGTTTCATGTAGTTATCGACCAGGTTTGCTGCACTGCAACAGGGATCTTAGCCCCGTACACAGATCCCTAAATCTGTCAGGTTTCAGGGCTGATGCTGAGCAACACAACATTTTAGCTTCCTCCAAAAATGTTCTACTGGATTTACATAGATCTGGAGACTGGCTAGGCCACTCCAGAACATTGGTATGCTTCTGATGGAGCCACTCCTTGGTTATCCTAGCTGTGTGCTTCGGGTCATTGGAAGACCCAGCCACGACCCATCTTCAATGCTCTGACTGAGGAAGGAGGTTGTTGATGCTCATGGCCCCATTCATCCTCTCCCTCAAACAGTGCAGTCATCCTGTCCTCTTTACAGAAGATCACTCCCAAAGCATGATGCGTCCACCCCTATGCTTCACAGAAGGGATAATGTTCTTGGTATGCAACTCATCCTTCTTTTTCCTCCAAACACCGTGAGTGGAGTTTTGACCAAATTAGTTCTATTTTGGTCTCATCTGACCACATGACTTTCTCCCATGCCTCCTCTGGATCATCCTCGCTAGAATGCAACTACAATGTGAATTTCAGACCCCTCCATAATTTCTAAGTGGAAGAACTTGCACAATCACAGGGTGTTCAAATACTTATTTTCTCACTGTATATTATCACAATATCAGTGTGTGCCATGCAAATACCACCGACTGACTGAAATGCGTTAGATGGTACGGTATGGTACGGTACAGTGTGGAACAGTGCAGCGCGGTATGATAAGGCACGTTACAGTGTGATACATTAAGGTATGATATAATAGGGCTGCTCAATTAATCGAATTTTAATCACGATTACGATCTGAGTTTTGACCGATTATAAAAACAAAACAAGCCGATTATGTGCTCCTCTCACTTGCGCTGCCCTGAGTTGCAAATGAAGCGCTCCCCCCACAGTGTTGCCAACTTAGCGACTTTGACGCTATTTCTAGCACCTTTTCAGACCACCTTCTTGACTTTTTAAATCTTAAAAGTACCTAGCGAACACCTCAGAAACATCTCTGATAACCCTTAGCTACTTTCTGGATAAATGTCATCGACATTTCCTGCAGGTTAGCTAAACACTCCGCCTGCGCTCCGGACCGTTCTTCAGGACATTAGGAAAGGGAATGATGTAGTGATGTGTCAGTCGCTAAAGAAATGGCTCTCAGAGTCGGCTCTGTTGGAGTAACCAGAGTGAGTGACACACACACCGCACCTGCGGTCTCCTGAGACGCTAAAAACAGCTAAATGTGTGCGTGCGGCGCGCTAAACACACGTGCAGCTTGCCCCGATTGCTGCGAGACCGGGTTGGGGGGTGGGGGTGCAGCTGTGGTTGGGACAATTATTACATTAACTGATGGACTTGTAAATAAATACTTTATAAATAAGGTAGAAATAAGTTCCTCACACTGATAAATAATAACTAATCTCTCTGAGGACACGGTGCTAGTGCACTCTCCTACAGCACCTTGACACGACTCAATAAATGTTATGCAACGTTTTGTGAACATCAATTTATTTGCATTTATTTGTTATAAATGCCACTGTATGATTCTTGCTGTCAGTATTTGCAAGATATTGGTATTTGGGGTCTGTATTGGTTAGACTTAAATGAGTTAAACCAAGGTCTACAGCCCTTGGGTCATAAACTATGAGCTATAAGTATATTGGTCTTTTTATACTGGGAATCAGGAGTTATTTTAGTGATCATCTTGTTTCTTATTTATTTTGTCCTGATTGTGCCCTGAGCAATTTTATGACTGAATAAAACAAATAAAATCAACATAAATTCAAAAATCGTCCTAAATGATCGTGATCTCAACTTCAGTCACCATAATCGTGATTATTATTTTTGCCATAATTGAGAAGCCCTACGATATAATATAATACATTTAAAAAAAGATTTTCATTCATTTGCACATAACACTGTGTGGTCCAAGATTCTGTCTTCTGCCGAGTTTGGTCTTCCTTTATTGAATTGTTCTTTAACAACTAAGTGAGGCACTGACAGTTAATCATGCTCCTAATGACTCATCTTGTTAGTTTTGTTGCATCAATGTGCGCAGCCATTGTGTTGTGTAGCTTAAATGACAGCATTAGTCTGATCTGTAAGTTCGGAAGAGAAATCACTTCCACTAGACTTGTCACTTGCTTAGATCTCTGAGCTGCAACACTGCGTTCGGTCTGAGGTCCTTAAAGCAGCAACACGATGAGAAGTGATGCCTGTCGACTCACATTTCAGCTATGAGAGAGTGTTGCATAAGGCAGAGCACTGACTCACCTCCATAGAAGAAATATGCACTACTTTACCTTCTCTAAAACTCCTTTACATGTATATCAAATATACTTATTTATGCAAATGCATACAGTATAAGTACTCATTAGTTCCTAATGGTGTGTTCACAAACTTTTCAAACATTACAGACATGAATGAAGTCTTGAAAGTCGCTCTTGTGCTATGTTTAGGTTTCGTATTACTGGATTTTGTCTTTTCAACAAGGCCAACAATCATTATCATCATTTATAGATGTGTAGTAGGGCTGAGTTGTAGAAAAATGTAAATATTTTACCATTGGCCTTTTCCCAATTAGTACTCCTTTCATTGTTTTTTAATCAGTAAATATTCGGCATGGGTATGTGTGTTAGCTACAAAACAGATGCAACATAAACATGTATTTTCATTGTGTTAGGAAGTCATTTGCCTCCAAACATGCACTATGATTGAGCTACTGTTCTCAGACAGAACACATGAACTGATTGGTTGGGCACAAGGCTTTTGCTGCTGCACTTGCTTGTCCCCCGATTAGTAGACACTCGGGCTCGAAGGGTTAATGAAAAATACATTATTATGGTAAATGTCCTGTATTTGTTTAGTGCCTTCTTAGGGTTCTACAACCCCCCAAGGCACTTCACAACACAATCAGTCATTCACACATTCACACGCTGGTGGGGATGAGCTAGGATGTAGCTACAGCTGCCCTGGGGCACACTGACAGAGGCAAGGCCTGCCGAACACAGGCGCCACCAGTCTCTCTGACCACCACCAGCAGGCAAGGCGGGTTAAGTGTCTTGCCCAAGGACACAACAGCAGCATTCTCTGGTTGGAGCTGGGATCAAACCTGCAACCTTCTGATTACTGGACAACCCGCTCGACCTCCTGAGCTACTGCTGAGCCATTATTTAACATTTATTATCATTTATCATTTTGTAATTATACCTTTAAAGCTTCAGCATCTGTGCTGTAAGTTACTTCAGACAGAATGTAAATAAAATAGTTTATCAACACTTCTGAAAGACATTTGAACTTTAAATAAATTAGTTCTAATCAGTGACCCTTACTTAAAAATAAAAATAATCCTTAAATTTGGATCGGACTCCCCGTGAAAACCTACAAGAACCAGACCAGGAAATCTCACATTGTTGAAACTCTTCATTCCTCCCTCAACACTGAATCACGATTGTTACCAGCTGTGACAACCTGGCTGGTATTATTATCACCTTGTGAATCAGTGTGTGTGTGTGTGTGTGTGTGTAGGTGTGTGTGCGCGCACCATCACCAATGTGCTCTTGGTGACACTTACTGTAGCAGAAACTGCCACAAAGGTGGTTTTAATACTTTGGCCCGTGTTGTTATATTTATCTGTCTGTCCATGGCGGGTTCTTTCCAAACTGTGGCAGACACACTCCCTCAAAATGTACAGGTATGTAGTTTAGATCAAACTGACAGCTGACTTGACCTGTGAGAGCGGATCAATTATTAATGAAGTCAAGACTCCTGAGTGCTCATGGGCTAACAGGCATCACAGCTGGTTTGATCCCATCACAAGCCGACGTTTAGACACACCTGACACATTTGTCGTTGAGTCTCTTTTCACTTGCCAGAAATAAGCTTCACATTGAGAACAAGCGGGTTTGTGTCACTTCCAGACCTGACTCAACCAGCCGAATTCACACTAGGAGTTTCTGCTGCACTCCGCAAAATAATTATGTGGTTGCTGAATGGTACATGATTTATGGCTGTTTAAATTTAGCAGCGTGTAGGAATTTGCTTTGGTCGGAAGCGGATGTTGTTTGAGCGCACCTTGGAGTCTTGTTCCCACAGGCCGGAGAACTCGGGCTCAAACAGGCTGTCAGGAAGCCTCTGAGAGACGACATCTTCCTGAGAGTTTTCACCAGTTTCCTCCAGGTCCTCCACATCAGAGGAGGACGATGAAGAACTGCTGATGTCACTGAAGTTTCTGATGTTCTAGACAGAAAAAGTACACAAATTATGCCATTTTGCCGAAGGTTTGGTCACATTCAACAATATTATTCTCTAAATGGTGCTGAGAAACTCGTACAATCAGAGCTGTGTCCTTGGTGACCGATGGAGCGAAACAATGGAGGTAATGCAAGTGGCTTTTTCTTTTCTTTCTTAAAGCCGAAGACTTATCATTAGAGGGTTTATGAAGCAATGCCTGGTTTCTGCTGTTTATCAGCTGTTCTTCTTGAAGAATCTTTGCAGCTATCGCTTCCCTCTTTGACTTCTGGCTCTCCTCAAATTCCCTGGGAAGTGTAAATCACCAACATTGCATTATACTGAAATGGGGTCATGTACTCAGCACACACACAGAGAAAAAACACACACCCACACAACGCTGCACAGGAGTGGGAGTAGAGGACATACGAGTAGGAGAGGAGAGGAGAGAGGACAGGAACGAACGTACTCTTGTTTTTGTTTTGTCTCCTCTTGTTGCTTCAGTCGGTACATGTGTTTAAAACTGTCGATGCCTTGGGTCTGCAGGGATTCTCTCAGTTTTCTATCTTCATGCTCTTTCTTCAGGGCATCTGCTCTGATTTTCTTTTGTTGAACCCGCAAATTCTCCTGAAGACACAAAGCTAAATTAGTTTAGCAGACACAGATTTAAGCAAAAGAGACTATGTGAAGAGTAGGATGACACAATTATATTAACCAGAACTAAACGAGCTTCAGCAATAGGAAAAAGTCCAGTTTTGTGTTTTTACAGCTAAAATGTCGACATCTGGTCCCCTTAAGCGTTTTCAGCAGAGTGATTAATAGGAAATAAAATTTACAAATCCAGGTCCTTCATAGGATTAAAGACTAACTGTATCCAAGAATAAAGAATGTATACATAGACTCAGGCCTAGTCCACACGTAGCCATTTTTTTTTAAACGAATACCCGCCCCTCCAAAAACTTGCATCCACACCACCTCGTTTAAAAAAAAACTGTGTCCACACGTACCCGGATAAATACGTTGTTAAGGACATGCCAGACCTGTAGGTGGCAGTACTTCCCCCGTTCTTAACCTCGTCCTTCGTCTGTGGTCTTCCGCAAGGAGCAGTAATTCCGCTTGCAAAAACAAACAAGCAAAAAGCGCTTGGACAATTGATAAAGCGAGCGCAGCTCTGAGGGCATCCATGCTGTCGGCTAGTGAAAACACAGGTCGCACACGTGATGTCAGCGTTTTTTTGTTGCGGAAAGTGACGTTGCGGACCTTAAAACTCCGGTTTTGTCTGTCCAAACGCAGACACCCAAAACGGAGAAAACGCAGATCTTCACTTTGGCCGGAGTTTTTAAAAAGATCCGTTTCCGTGTGGATGACAGGCCAAAACGTAGAAAAATATCTACGTTTTGGCAGATCCCCGGCTACGTGTGGACAGGGCCTCAAATGGTGTTCAGAGACTTGTCTAGTTACATGACAAAACAAATCTGTCCAAAAACACTCTCAGTATTGTTGAAGCAGTAATCATAAAGTTATGTTTTCAGTACTTTATACTTGTGATACTAACCTGGTTGGCTGCTATGCTTGATTTCAGCGACATGACAACCTGGATCCTTTTTTCTATTAACTCTTGGCTCTGTTGCTCCTTCTCAGCAGCTTGTTGCTGTGCTCTAGAAAAAAATGGAAGAAAATAGAAAAACTGTTGCCACAGGGAAAAAGTAGCACACATCATCCTCAAAAGGCTTCATTTAAAAAAATCATGAATTATATTAAAAAATGAATAAAAAAACATTGACAACTTTATAAATTGAAGGCTTAATAATGTGTTAAGAACAATTAGTTGTTAAAAGAATTATGGTCTTCAACTACTGCTGTTAAAAATAATTGAACTAATTGGGCTAAATCCAGTCTGAATTGAGCCAAAGCTCAAAGCTAAATGAGGGAGACACTAAACACACGGATTACTGGGAAATTCTGTCTTTGTGGGTTAGGCAAGTAAATTCAAAGCTACCAAAAGAGGAAGACTTATTCATAATACCATCCTTTTCATGTTTTGATTTTAGTAAATATTGTGCTTTGATTTCTATCTTTCCTTCTCAGATTTGATAAGCTAAACACTTTCAGCTTACTGATGCATCAACCTAAATGCTTTCTTTGCCAGTAGAAAGGAGAGAGGACATACTGACATTCCAATAAATTACCAGGAATAATAAATACTTTTGTTCTAATCTTTCTCATTTCATGCACAAACATTGGATTACCTTTTCTTTTTAAGAGACTCATTCAAGTACTTGACAGCGATCCTCTGGTATTTTTTACCCTCTTCAAGTTTCTTCTGATATTCCATCTCCTCCTTTCTAAGCGAGGCTTCCTGTTTACTATCAGAACACAGTCAGACACTACATCAATGCTGCATAATTAGAAAGAGGCCCCATAATAAAGCAGTACAAAAATGCTATGTGAATGGTGGTAATTAGCGTTGTCCCTACTCCCTGAGAAGCTTCAACTCATGCTGAAGGTTCTGGCCGACTTTCCTCTCCTGCTGCAACCTTGTCGCTGCCTTCTGGGCTTTAAGGGTCTGGAAAAGCTCCTCTTCCTCCTGCACCTCCTGTCGGAGCATGGACACTTTGCCAAGTTCCACTTCCACCTTAATCAGCTCCCATCTAAGGACCAATGATATTATTGTAAACAGTAGAAAATTAATAGGTACAGATCCTATCTTCCAGTCTATTTATGGCGCCATTTCTTCTTTTAAACAATAAAAACAGTAATTTGCCGAGTTTATTTGGAAAAAACTGTATTGTATCCAGTCTTTTAGGGGTTATCAGACACCCTAACACTGCAAAGCAGTTTAGCAGTGACTGCTACTACGTGCTAACTTTAACACTCTTGTTAATCGTTTCACTGATTTGGAAGACAACTAAACGAAAACGTGACAGTTATGTAACCATTGAGCTCTCTTACTTACATTGTTGAGTGTTTTGTTATGTTATTAATGTTTACCCCTTATTTACTGCCTTTTAGGAAGTAAGGGCACACCCTTTTTAGGGTGTACCTGTTTGTTGTTTGCATAGTGCTGCGGTGAGGACGCTAGTGTTAAGTTAATGGCCATCTGGAGAACACTTTGTGAGGCTGAGGGGTGAACTTCAGACATGGGTCACCTTTTAGCACCCCGGTTTTGAGTTCACCACAAACCTGTAGGAAGACCAGGGTTGAGTTCGGTATTCTCCCCACATAGCTAGCAGGGATTCTGAGTTTTAGTAAGTAAGTAAGTAAAAGTTTATTTATATAGCACCTTTCACAGATATAAATCACAAAGCGCTGTACAACATGATAAAGATCAGGGCAAATACCTCTAACCAATAAAAGCATCAGAAAAATAATAGCAGTGATAAACGTAGAAAATAAAATCATGAGTATAAACAAAGTGAAGGTGTGAACCCGAACAAAGCCATCTTTTTGAAACATTTAGGGAGGGAACGTCTGGATGAAAAGGTGAGTTTTTAGATGATTTTTAAAGACCTCTACAGTGTTAGAGAGATGGAGATTTGAAGGTAAATTTTAGAAGTGAATTAATTATAAAAAGTAGTGTGATGAGGATTTTAAACCACAAGAGAGAGAGAAAAAAGAAAGGTGAAAAAAAGAACTTGAAGTTTAAAGTTTCCTTTTTCTACCACTGCCTGCCCTTTCCGGGGGAAGTAGTCAGCTCCTGCTCCCACCTGGTTCAGCACCAAGGACAGCGGCAAACCAAGGCCGTGCTATCACTGCTCCTCCTAAATGTGGCCGGTGCAGTCTTTACCTAGCCTGGCAAGCCAGACTAAATAAATGTATTATTTAGTCTGGCAACGCTCCATGACGGCTCTCGGTTGTGGGGCGGGTTCTACCGTTGTCTTTCAAATGATCTCCGCATTCCACTGGACAATGAATGTGACATACTCTTGTTTCACTCTGTTGCATCATCCCACCCACCAGGCATATAGAGTGCCCTGATTGGCCCACAAAGCGGATAAAGCTCTGTGATTTGTTCACTAAGCAGATAGAGCACTATGATTGGCCCACCATTATGGACCAATCACAGCTCTTTATGTGTTTGAAACCCCTCTAGAGAGCTGTGATTGGCCAGCCAGAATGCTGTTGGGGCTGCAGAGGTTCCAGTGGAGCATGCCTAGACCAAACTTTGCAAAGCATGAATTTGGTCTAGTTCACTAGGCTAGTCTTTACCAGTTTCCTGATGACAGCTAGGGAGTGACTTACTTTAACCCCTTTGCATTCCAGCGTCCCGCCCGTCGGACAAAACCCCGATGGGTTCATTAAACCTGCAAATTTAAGGGTTAAAAAAGCCAAGGCTGCCAGTTACTCAGCTTAGCTGGGGCTTTGTCTTCAGGCCACCATCCACGGATGGAAACTAGCGTTATTTAGAACTCTGAGCCAGGTTCACCTTGTTATTCCCTTTAATTTGTTTTCCTTAAGGCCACAGGGCTGGTTAACAGGATTTAGGTGATGCTGGTGGATTATTGTTCTTTGTCATTTTTGGATTCTAGATTGTACGTGTGTTGTTATTATTGATATTGTGTTTCCTCTTTCTTTTCTTTCTTTCTTTAGTTTAGCTGTTGGTATTATTATAATTTCTGTAATTTACTTCTTTAAATTCTTTGGGGATTTGATATTTGGTGGTATTTAGTTTCCAGGTCCACACTCCACTCCAGTAGGTGGCAGTAATGCACCTTGATGTTGCATGCCAACCGCCATAAAACTGTATGCAGAAGAAGACAATTACTCAGCTCTCTGATTTTGATAGCCACATCATTCATTCATTTACCGGTAGTTTAAAATAGCCTTGAGCTTTGTGTAAGTCCCTTTAGTTATGTTTTGAAGACTGCTGATCTTTTAGTTTACTTTCTTTTATTTTTTTTAGATCCCTTGTGTTTTTCCCTTCATGGTTAATGTTCCTTATAGTTATATTAGAAGCATTTTGAGTTAGTTGTTCTAATTCGTGTTTATTAACAGTGTCGCCTCTTCCCGAGAACACATGCATAGGGCAAAAACTCTTGTTTTATTTAAATCCTGACAACATCTGCTTTACGTTACGGCCTCCTTCACACTTTAACCTCTGGGTTGTAACACCCCTTCCAGTCTTAAAGCTGAGATCCCATCAATGCAAATGAGACGGCAGCCTTTTTAAAGCAGTACCAGTGCTGCTGTCATATTCTTCTTGAACTTACTCTCGCTGTCTTAGTTCAGTGCGGATGCGGCCTTCCAACTCTTCCTCATTTTGCAGCTGCTGACATAACTGTTTATGCTGAGCTCGCAAACGAAACACTGCCACACTGTTGAGTAAAACGAGCCAAGAGTAAAATAAGAAACAGAGGCTAGGAAAACACCAACAATGCTATTTACGTTTGTAATGTTCCAACCGGCCACTAACTACCATTAATATTTACCTGTCGTCCTTTGCTTTCTGTTGCTCTAGCTCCTTTTCCAAGTTCATCCTCTGCGCCAGCAAACTATCGACATTCCGACGACAGAGTCTCAGCTCCTCTCTTTGAAAAAGCACAAAAGACAACTTGAACAGAGACGCTGATGGAAACCTTGAGACTGTAAAAAGGAATATTTACTGGAGTATTCAGTTAATGAATTTTGGTGTGCCCACTAGGATAAAAACTGAGGCGATTCAATTGGATAATAACGTAACCCAATGGAGATGTTCAAAAGCAATAAAAGGATATACTCATTTCAAAAACTCAATTTTCTTTTTTGGAGCTTAATGATGTGGAAAACAACAATCTGTGTTTGAGGCAAAACAGTGTCATGAAGGAAAATTGTTGCACATGGTAACACCGTCTAAAAGCTGCAGGTTGGTTAAAAACCAGGTGTGTTTAAGCTCCATTACACTGATGTTTATTCACAGAGCACTAAAGCACCACACTGACCACTGCTGCTTTGTGCTGAAGGATGATGACTGACAGTTTTGAAGGGGACTGCATCACAGTTCATCAGGTGCCTAATGGCTCACAGAGCAGACAAATAAAAAGAGGGGAGAAAAGTGAGGAGAGGGGACATTATGGGAAATGTTCTCTCTTCAGCTGAAATGATTTCCTGCAAATTGCAGAATCAATTGGCACAGAAGTGATTGGCCCCATGTGACAAGGGCAAGGGAGGCAAGAGCACAGAAATGGGAAAATCCTTACAAGAGGAGAAAAAAATTTAGCTACCATTTTGTGACAAGAGAGTGGAAATATAGTTTAAAGAAAGATTTCTGTGGAGTCCAGAAGGCATATGAAATTTTATCAGGGTTAAAGAGGCCCTTCAGCTCTAGAAATCTGCTGCTGCCAGGCCCAGACCTGGCTTTCTGCACGTGATGCTCCTTCTGTCGATGAAAGCATTCCAGCTGGTCTTGGTTTCGTCTCAGCTTGAACATCCGTGCTGTCTCGGCATAACTTCTCTTGTTTCCATCATCAGCCCCAAGTGCAAGGTCACCACCACCATCATCATTATCCTCTCTTGGGGAAGATAAAGAAGAGCACTTGTGAAAAGATGCATATTATGCAACTACACAAAAGAGTCCCACTGCTTTTGCTAAACGGTATGATGCATGAAATATGAACAATAAAAGCTAGGAAAAAAGTGATTCCATGCTGATATTTCCACTGAGTACAGGAATATCTACTATAAACTGGGGAATAACAGGATTTACAACTAAATTAACCTTAATTTACTGTATGCTGGTGAAGGTTCTCAGTCATCCAGGTCATGATAATCTAAAGGGTTCAAATGAAGGCAACTGGACTTCTTTGGTTTCTTGAAGATGTTTCGCTTCTCATCCAAGGAGCTTTGTCAATTCTAACTGGAATATGGGAGAGTCAAGCTTATAAGTGCATAACAATAGACAGCTACAGTTTATAAGCTTGACTCTCCCATATTGCAGTTAGAATAGACAACGCTCCTCAGATGAGAAGCGAAATGTCTTCAAGAAACCAAAGAAGTCCATTTGCCTCCATTTGAACCCTTAATGTACTGTATTTATGTAGTGTGGAGCATATAGTAAAATATACACACTCATATAGTTCTTCCAGCCACTCCAGATCAGAATTGGCTGCTTCTTCATCTTTAAATGTCTCCTGCCCTGGACCACATTCTGAAACAAATGCACACAAAACATGCTAAAAACGCATGTGGATTTAGCACATGTGGCATGCATACACCAACTTAGTTTAATAACTGAGCAAAAGAGATGTGTCTACAAATTGTTATATAAGCTATATATTTAATAATTTGCAGGAGCTGATTCTTACCCTGGGTGTCATCATCATCAGTGCTATAGTGGACATCCAGCGGTCCAGACTTCACCGAATCCCCATCAGACAAGCTTTCCCTGTCCTCAGTCTCCATTTAACATTTACTTAAGAAAAGCAGAGGCACTTTATAAGTCAAAGCTCACATATAGATAAAGTTGTATCTTGAAAAGACGCTGAAACAATCTAAAAGCATGTAAAATCTTGATATATGGAGGTAACAACAGCTAGCATTTGACTTTGTTCAGCTAGTTTTTTTTAGCTAGTTCTCAGTTTACAAACTGCATCTGGTTTGTTTTACGAAGTTGAGCAAAATTTTAGGACATTCACGATGTTTATCTAGAGAAAGAAAATCTAAATAATTCAAAACAAGCCCTTAAATCGATAACATGCACGTGCATATTTGAATTTGTTGTACCTAGCTTAAAATAGGGAAAGCTAGAAAGCAGTAAACACAAATAATAGTGAATGTAGAATTTTACGGTGTTTATAATATGGGGGGAAAACAAACTAATAAACAAACATGTACCTGTTTCAGCCAGAATTATCTTTACTCTAAACTAAAAGCAAGCTTAATCCCTCACGTTGACCGGTTTCCTGTTTCCATGGAGACGGGACGCGAGAGGCGGAGCCTTGCGTGGCGTCTTACGTCCGAGCTGAACTCAGCCGCAACCGTGAATTCAGTCTAAAATACCTTAAACACCTAAAATACAGTTGCAGATTCTATTTATTTAGGAGGTAATTGTGTGGCAAAGAAATAATTGTTTTCTTTTAATAATTTAAAAATGCTGGCCTAGTTTCACACGCAGCACAAGGAACAATAATGAGAACTACGAATCAACTTTATTAGATCTTTTCAAAATCACTTTAATTTAAGCACAAAATCAAATTGCGGGCCTTGATTTGATGCAGATAAAATGCCCCATATAGGGCTAATGCAGTTTGTTGTCCTCAAATCAAGGGACGTTGCGGTACAAAGAGTGAGAGATTAAAGAGACCAGCAGCACACTGAAACCAGGACAGGTGCACTGCTGTGTTTACACTGCGCCCAGCACCTACTTTCAATGAGGTAAAACACAAACCATTGCATACTCAGATCAAAATCAGCAGTGATGACATTTCCCTTTAAAGATGCGTGTATAAAAATGGTTTGTCAGTCAAATATTTCTTACAAAAACACGGAAATGCTCCCTAATATCACCATCAGTTCTGAAAAATCCCATCAAAAGAGTGTTTTTAATTAAATAAAATAGCACGCAACATTAAATAAATAAAAAATATTGCATGTCTGCAAAATGTGGATTACTTTATTTAAATTGTGATTATAGTATTTAATCTGACTCTGCCATGCTATCGGAAAGTGGACTAATGAAATGTGAGCAATAATTATATTAAACTTAAAACTATACCAACAGCGTTATTCTGCTGGACTCATGAGTTTGATCATTGTGTGCCTCTGTTGACAATCATTCTTGTGCCTAAATGCACACTCATTTCCATTTGGCAAAATATGTTTCTTTTCATTCTTTTTGGGGATTATTATGTCTTCAGTTGAAGGCTAAAAGTGGACACAGTGAGGAAAGATGTGATAGGCATTGTCAAGACATAAATGCTTGCTGCAGTTTTAGCATTGTCTTTGTGTGTAAACTGACTTCTGTATGAAAATGGCTCGCTGTGTACTGATATTTAATCTACGCTGAGTTCCTCTAGAGACAGTAAACCTCTTAAAGCTGTGGTCTTTGATCAGTGTGTTAATACTTTCTGAGAGAAACAGACAGTTACACTTACATAACAGTCTACAGGATGGAGGGATGGGTGTAAAAATTAAATGCAGAATGGAAGCTGATGAATAATCAGAACAATGAAAAATAAAGCCTAAAAAACGCCCAACAATATTTAGAAAAGTGTTGCAATAAGTTAATAAAATGTGTATTTTTCCAGAATGACACAAAAAGTTTTAAAAACAAAACTGCCAAATTCATATTCCGACGCTAAAGGTTTGTGAAATGTTTCAGTCACGCTGTCAGAAGTTGTGAGATTTGGTGCCATCAGCATCCATGACTGAATCTGAGGCCAAGCAAGAGGAGGTCTCTCTCTCTCTCTCTCTCTCTCTCTCTCTCTCTCTCTCTCTCTCTCTCTCTCTCTCTCTCTCTCTCTCTCTCTCTCTCTCTCTCTCTCTCTCTCTCTCTCTCTCTCTCTCTCTCTCTCTCTCTCTCTCTCTCTCTCTCTCTCTCTCTCTCTCTCTCTCTCTCCTCTCTCTCCTCTCTCTCTCTCTCTCTCTCTCTCTCTCTCATCCTCTCTCTCTCTCGTCTCTCTCTCTCTCTCTCTCTCTCTCTCTCTCTCTCTCTCTCTCTCTCTCTCTCTCTCTCTCTCTCTCTCTCTCTCTCTCTCCTCTCTCTCTCTCTCTCTCTCTCTCTCCTCCCTCAGTCCCTCTCAGCCTCTGTTGCTGATGACAGGCGGCGGCGGTGGATCGGCTCATCGGTGCGGTCGGACAGGGAGTTTTCCCCCGTTTTTTTTCTCCCTCGCAGGCGCGCGCTCTCATCCGGTGCGCTCCAGGACGCATCAAGGATTTCACAATGGAGGCAACATCATCTACAACACCACCATCATCCTCATCATCACCAGGAGCAGCAGCATCAAAAGCGCACTTTACTTTCTTCACCGCAGCGATGGATCACGAGGAAAGCGCATTAAAATAAAAGCGTAAGCAAATAAAGAAACTCATCGGGGGTTTTTGCTTTCGAATCCTTTGTGGGAAAGTTTTTTCTTGACAAGAACATTTTTAATCAAATGGGACGTGAAATGGAGATCCCAACTTTCCTGCTGTCGAGTCTTGCTGTGCTGTTCGTCGGTGGGGATATTTTCACCAGGTCGAGATCAACCTTGCTTCCACCTTTACGCAGGTGCCCTTTTTCATTTTGAGCTGCGTGCTTTAGGAGGATAATTGGAATCTGGGATAAAACCTACACTGAATTGCATCTAAAATGCATATTTTTGTGGAATAAATCGCCAAAAATCCGTCCGTGTTGCGTACCACCTCCCACGACTTATGAATTTTCCATAAAAAAAAGTCTCCTCGCAGCTTTGTTCTCTGCACAATAGTCTGCTGACAATATTTACATAATTCTCATTGCGACTGTTTCCCTTTAAAGTGGCGGTGATGAATAAGAGGTGAGTGGGTGGCTTTCTATGCAGCAGGTATGGTGTGTTCACTTCAGTAGGGGGTCAAATGTAATCAGCTGATGCAGGTAGATTCAAGGAGGCTTGTAGGGTTGTAACAGAGCAGCAGCTGCTCATCTTGAGGAGTTCAAGAGAAGAAAATGGTGCTGTTTTTGTTCTGACTGCAATCTCTGATCATGATCACGTGTTTAAAGAGCTCAAACTGAGGAGAGTGGTATCTTGACCAAAGGAAAACCCTTGCTGTAGAATCTATTCTTGGTACGATCTTTTAAACACTCTTATTGTATATGTTCTTTAAACAGGAGGATGCTTTAGATTAACCTCATGACCACGGTGCACAGCCCTGGTCTTTATGGACTCTTATCCATGTTTTAGATGTTTCTTTGGTCCGACTCACCTATAGCTGAATCACCTGTTCAGCAGGTCATCAAGCTCTGCAGAAGCATGCCACTCCCACATTGATTGAAATCAGATGTATAACAGCAGAGAAACCTCCAACACATTCTGGACGGTGGCCTTCAAGGACCAGGGTTTGGACACCTTGTGTTTATGTTTTCATTGAAATCCATCCATGATACTAAGCTTCAATTTGAATCCTGTCTGTAGAATCATCAGCATCTATTTGATCCCCTAAATCCTGCATGTTTGTGTGCGAGCCTCCTCTGAAAAGGTCAAAAGGTGAAGCTACTTAAGTTTTGAGTGAAATTTGGGCAAATCACTGGTATCGTCCACCTGGCTGTTCACCGGCAGAGGGGGTGACATGCTATAACTGGATTTCCCCGCCTCCAGTCGCCACTCTTATTATGATTTAGTTCTCAGTACAATGCAGCGTTGGCTTTTCTTGCACCTCATTATGTGTCAGCTCTCTGCGTCTCTTTCCGTCTCACACACACACACACACACACACACACACACACACACACACACACACACACACACACACACACACACACACACACACACACACACACACACACTGCTGCTCCACATTTGGTAGCTGAAAGTTGCAAGCTGCTCGTTTCCTTGACTCCCCCTCTTTCGAAAGAGAATGACTCTGATTCTCGTTTTAGCTCCTCGTTTATCCATTTCAGAATTAGTTGCATAGCGAAGTTATTCCTCGCCTGTTTTGGTGTTGCATGATTTTCACAGCTCTTCTCTTCACCTGAAGCGTGTCTTCTTCATCGCCGTGCATAACATCCAATTATCAACATGAAATCTGTAAAAGAAACAACCCGATCTGCACAAGAACATCGCTATTTGGTGAAACGTAACTATTTTTTCAACAGTTTTCACAAGAATTCAGTGTTTTGTAGTGAAAACAGATAAGAAATCAAAAATAATGTTTAGAAAATAGACAGACTGACAATCGTCATCCACTTCTAGAATCAGTAAGTGGCTCTACAATAAGTCATCCTCATTTTGCGTCATTGCTGACATAAGGAGTGTTGCATAACAATTATTATCTGAATATAAAAGCTACAGATTCCAATAATGGCTTTGTTAACGGGATACATTTACTTGCTGGGTCTAGATTAGGAATTTCTTTGCTATAAAGAAATGCTCCTAGCTCACAATTTAATCCAAACAAAAACAATAACATTTTCAACACAGAAGTTTAACAAAAAGAAGTAATTTTTTTGCACATGTATCTTTTTTTCTTATTGTCAACAATGTTAAAGCTTTTCATGTTGATATGCAAATAACTGCTGTGTTGGCTATTGACTTATTTTCTGCAGTTGGTAACACAATTGCCTTGAAGCAGAGGTTTGACTCCTGGCAGGAATCGTTTTGCACGTATGGATGCTCTTTCGGTCCACCATTTCCATCTTCAGATCAAAAACATATTAGTCGAACTGTAATCTCTAAATTCAATGCTAGATGCGAGTGTGTGTGAAATGGTGATTGTCCGGTTCATCTCTTGGTCCTGTGATGGACTGGTCACCTGTCCAGGGTGAGCGCCCTTGACCCTGTACAGTAGAAAGTGAAGTAAAAAAATTATCAAAGAAACAAATTAATAAATGATGCACAGACCTTAAAACTTTACTCTGTTCTGCTAACTTGATTAGCGTTTTCCATCCCTCCTTACGTTATCTTAAGCCACTTTCATCTGCATGATCACTGGGAGCTGGTGCCTTAAGCTTGGTTTATGCTTGACGCGTCCGCGAGGTCCGCACGGCTCCGCGCGGAAAAGTTGCGTCATTATAACAACCACGCCCCTCCACCGCGTCTCCGCACGGCCCAAAATTTCTGCAACGCGCACCGAGGAAATTTTCTAACCACGCGGACGGTCGGACGCGGAAAAACATGGCGGACCGGCAAGAACTAGTATGGCAGAGGTTTGTAAATACAGACATTTGTATGATTCAGCTCTCAGAGATCACCTTGATCAACATGTTGTTAATAATTCTTGGAGAGAAATAGCTCGCACTGTTAGAAAAGACGAGGAGGCTGTTAAAAATGCTGGAATGCCATGTTGTAAACAGTAATTTCTACTTCTACTATGGTGTAGTGTTGGATGCATGCTGTAGAGCTCCATGCTGCCCCCTACAGTTTGGGAGAATATTGGCTCACCGCAGAGACAAGTCGCACGAACCATAAACGCTGCAAGTTGTGAAGCACGTTCCAGGCGCAAGCCGCATCACCAAGCGGAAAGTGAATGCGTCAAGCATAAACCAAGCTTGGTCCACTTTCCGCTTGGTGATGCGGCTTGCGCCTGGAACGTGCTTCACAACTTGCAGCGTTTATGGTTCGTGCGGCTTGTCTCTGCGGTGAGCCAATATTCTCCCAAACTGTAGGGGGCAGCTTGGAGCTCTACAGCATGCATTAAACACTACATCATAGTAGAAGTAGAAATTACTGTTGTTTACAACATGGCATTCCAGCATTTTTAACAGCCTCCTCGTCTTTTCTAACAGTGCGAGCTATTTCTCTCCAAGAATTATTAACAACATGTTGATCACGGTGATCTCTGAGAGCTGAATCATACAAATGTCTGTATTTACGAACCTCTGCCATACTAGTTCTTGCCGGTCCGCCATGTTTTTCTGCGTCCGTCCGTCCGCGTGGTTAGAAATTTTCCTTGGTGCGCGGTGCGGAAATTGTGGGCCGTGCGGAGGCGCGGTGGAGGGGCGTGGTTGTTAAAATGACGCAATTTCGCCGCACGGAGCCGTGCGGACCTCGCGTACGTGTCAAGCATAAACCAACCTTTAGCTTATACTGGTCACATGGCCTCAGAGAGATAAACACTCACTCAGTCATACTCACGAAACCCTGGAGCAAATCAAGAGTCACCAATTTGCATAACATGCTGGTTACCTGGAGCAAACCTCTGCATGTACAAGAAAAACGTAACAGCTCAATGCGGAAAATTTCTAGCAGGGTTTGAAGCTTATTGCTGCAAAACAACAACGCTACCAACTGCAATGCCATGCACCAAACAGATGTTGATAACTAGACATGAAAACATATTAAACGGCCTTTAAACCATCTCTTCACATTGCTGTTATTGTGAAGCGTCATAGACGTTAGCTCTAATAAACTTAGCTCCTAGCTGGTTTCAACATGATCCTGTTTGTGGGAGGTAACTCCAGCCACCAACCATCACAGTCTCACATGTAAGCAGGCGGGTTTTCTGAGAGAGAGCTGAGCATACTGAGTTATAAAAGGGGAAATCAGGATTAAATCCTTTCAGATAAGCCTTTTAATTTTCATTCTGGTTCAGTTACAATCAATTTACAGTAAAGGCGATGCTTGTAAAACTAGTTTAGATGGATGATTAGTCAAATAAGCCTAAAAATAAGCATATTATTGAAAATCTGATCATAAGAATGAGAATATTGTCTTTTTACAGCAAAAGCCACCAAGATTCCACCAAAAATGTTATTAAGGCCCACCAAAAATAAATTTCAGGGTCCCAAATGCTCCCTGGGTTGTGCTTTGGGCATTAAAAATAATCTACTTTAACTTCATTATTATTTCACTGTGTTTAATTTCTTGGAAAAACAGACAGAAGAGGAAAAGCTGCTCAGTTTTTGAACACAGACAAAAAATTTGCTATGCAAGGAAGAAGTACATGCTCCCAGAAGCTCTGACTTTCCACGATCCCCCTGGATTGTCACATTTTCCTTAAATGTTCGCACAGGTGACTCATTTCTCCTGACGAATCTGTATGAGAAGCTGACTCAGCAGATGAATCCCTCCTATCCACATAGCACTCTTCCCAATAGCACAGGATTTGATCGCTTTGCTTCAGCTGCATTGGTTGCTTCTAAAGCCTGAATCTGCAATGGTTGCAGGGTGAGTAAATACAGGTGGGCCACATTTCAAAGCCTCCACTAAAAGCCTCCCACTCAGTTTGAGTTAACTCAATACGCGTAATCTGGGGAAAACAAACAAACAAACAAAAAAAACTGTTCATGTTGGTAATTTATTTGCAGATCTGGCTGTTCTGCAGAAGACCGTCTCTCCAATGATCAAATGCATGTTAATTCACATGTTTCGGAAAATTATAGACGTGCAGAATGTGCTGCAAAACTCCAGATTAGAGTAAAATTAGGATTAGGCAAAAAAAAAGTTGTAAAACTCAATCTGTGTCAGATTAGTTAAAAGTTTTAGCTTTTATTTAAAAAAAAAAGGTAGAGACAAAAGAAAAAACTGGAAAACAGGGTTAATAATGAAATAAAGCGAAGTA